GTCTATTTGTGACATCAGAAAAGTTTAGTTCAAAGTGAATAAAGACGTCGCAATTACCTTCCGCTTATCGAATTCAATATAATTGTCTTTCTTCCTTTTGACCCTTAATGGTGGCAAGCAATTAAAAGGTAACTTCAAATCAACTCAATTAGTATAAAGTCGGCCGTGGCAATGATAAGAATTTCTGCTGTCTGCTCGAAATTTGGATGAAGTTTCTACACCGACTGTCCCTTTTTCCTGTTATTTCATGAGATTGATGCGACAATATTGAAACGCTATGACAATAGAAGTTGGGCGTGGAGTATGTAGCGGATTGCTATGCTGGTAAAGCCTGACTGACACAGAAATCTCTATGGCAGATTCTCCAACATCTAGCTAGACTCCCAGAACCAGCTAAGCTATAGTTCAGCTATAAAGGAAATAGGTGTGTAGCACGGAGCACTTTTATTCAGTGAGTATATTGCAGATAAAGTGTGCACGCAGGGAGCTACTCATGATCAGGATGGGGAATTAGGTTAAACAAACGGAGGCTACTGATTGGCCGCTGTTTGTACGGTCGCTGCACACAGAGTTGTACGGCCGCACCTCCCAACCTGTCATACAGGCATACGATGACGCACAGAGCGATAACGTGTCCCACAAGTAGTTGGATATTATAATTATGTCACCCTTGGTTTGTTTAAATAATGACCAGCAAATAAGGGTCTTCATTATTCATTAGTCTAAAAAGTTTCTTACGATTTTTGAGCTATTGATTACTTCATTTTTCAAGATGTTTCTATTCTAAAAATACTATTGTTCACGAGGTCTTGTACATTTCCTACTGACTTCTTACGAAACTCAAAATTATTATTTTTGATTGCTTTATTTAATTAAAATTAACATCAAGCACAATTTCGACTAAATTAAATTTGCTTTGAGGACTGTAAAGCTGGATCCGGAAATTATGGCTATTTAACTAACCTCAGATAAGATTAATTACAGGAGCTATTGAGTGAAAAGCGTTCTAGGATTTAAGGCTATTGCTATCAACTAAAGTTATCTCATTTCTTTTAAGACTGTTTACTGAAAATATTCTACTTTAAAATTAAAGCGACGCTAGCGCTGTTCTTGAAATATCCTTGAAATGAGGTCAATTAGTTGGGAATACTTCCTCCCCTTCCCATCCTCTCAAAACGCTCTCCATCACAGGTCCGTTTCCATGGGATATCTTGCAGAGAATTGGCAGTCAATTAATAGTACAATTTACCTTTAATTACCTAAATAAGATAATTTGGTAATCTTGCGAAAGTGGCTAAATGAAAATTCGTTTCGAGCCTAGGTTACTTAAGTTGAGTGAATGGTAATTCATTATTTGCTAATATTTTCCTTAATCTTCTCGAATGTGGTTGTTAAAACCATGCTACTTTTCTTGCAAACAAAAGGGGTTTTATTTGTGATTCGAAAAACTTTTCGGTTATATAAATATGGTTATAATTACGTTAGAGCGGCATTATTGCTGTCGCCTCGGGCAGTGAATGGAATGAATGCAGACATAATGATCGAGTGGAAGATTTTAAGGGAACGAATTATCCGAAGGACATGTACTTTATGAAGTAAATAACTAGGACTAGCATCCCTGTCCATCATGAACGATTTTGACACCTAGCTGACAATGTTTTTAAATGCTGACATCACGTCAAAATTGAAACCCAATAAGCAAGCATAAAATAATTCAAAGCCATAGTCATTTGAACATTTGGCTGTAAATCTTATTTGGCAATTCTTGTTTACTTTCAGATACATTGGACGAACTCAGAAAGAACTCATCCGTTTCATGCGGGAAAGCAACTTGCGAAGGCCTCCGTTCGAAAGGTACTTCATCAGTAAAAATGCAATATTTAATGCATTTTTCATTTCGGAGTTATAATTTTCCCAATAACCAAGTAAATTTATATTTTTTGTGGTCTCTCGTATAATAGTTGTATTCGATATTGGTTCAGTTCATTTACGTTTTTTGGTATAACTATTGTCCCTTGAAATCAATTATATAAATGATAAGGCCAAAGAGTTGCTGGTCTTGATGGCTTCCTTAGTGAGAGAATTTTTAAAACTAACTGGAGATTCATTGAAATCCTGAAATAATCAATAAAAGACACTTTAAAGAACCATAGCCAATTACTCACTCGCGTGCTTTGTTTAAGTGTGGAAACTTTAGTTCTCCTTTTCTCAGTAGTATTTAGGAGTCACAGCCTGATGAAGTCTCCTCCTTTCCAAGCAAATTAAAGAACGGGTTAATGAAAATATTTTCTTAATTCGTGACTAAAAGTTAATTGAAATTGTAACAATACAATCATAACTAAAATTCAAAATATGTTAATGCTTTAAAAATCAAATCTTCATTGTCAATAAGACTTACGGGTTTATTTTAAGAATGAGAGTCACTTATGATCCTCAAAATGTGTATTTTAGCTTGTTAAATTTACAATATGATTGTATGTCAAATCAAAGTTGAATGTTTTATGAGTAAGTGATTGGGAAAAAATTCATTCAAGATTACGCCTGTAGCCATACTATGCGTTCTGTCTCTAACATAATTTGGTCTTGACAAAATAGACCTTGACAAGTGTTTTTGGTACCACTAAATACCTACAGAAGCCTAACCAATGACACAAGAAATAAAGCACAACAACTCTTCCAAAACCAGAAAGCCAAGTCCAGAATTAGATTATCTTAGAGGAATGATAGAGGGTAAAGAGAATCTGTTAGAAATGAAAAAGAGGAAAGGGCTATAAATGTGTATGGAATAGAATTCCCATTATCGTACGCTGTGGGGAGTCAATTGGTTTTGTATTCTTTCTTCATTTGAACAGCTGTAACTGGCAAGTCGAACGATCCCTCTTTTGTGACAAATCGTGTTTACTATAAATCATAAATTGAGTTAAAGCTTAATCTTTATAACCCTAATTAAAGACCTTCAACAGCAAGACGAGCTCATCCAACAGTACTCACAGGCCCGAACTATGCTCATGCACGTGTTGGCACCATGTCAATGACTCTGCGTTCAAAATCGGCTGATCATCGTAGACACCAACTTTTAGATTCAAGTCAACTCCGCCTACATGGAGGAATTCTCGGCAGCTCTCGAAGCTTTCTGGATCAAGTCGGGACGGGTGTCAACAGTGCCAATCAACTTAAACGTGCTCATTCAAGCTTTGTTCCGAATGCAGCAAATATTGGTACGCTTTCCATTCCTTTACCCAATGGATTTCTGTGCTCACAAATTAGGAGAATTAGCAATAATCTCTTCTCACATCCACCTTAAGATCAAGCTTAAAAATGCTTTCAGCGCAATCTTATTAATAGTGGGAATCGATTACCATTTCATTTTTTTGTCCTTATTTTATTTTGTCTTCTCAAGCATGAAAATGAGAAATGAAGCGATATGATTGAATCGTCTTAATGGAATGAAGCCTTTGATGCAATACTGGGGGACGTTTCTTGATCTTTTAAAACTTCGAAACGTGAACTGCCAATTTAGCTAATATTTTTTATTTGATTCCAGAATTTGAGAGAAGTGAGACTCCTTTATAGGCTTCCTTTAGAACTTCTCTTAATCATTAACTGGGCTTACTATTATTTAAAATCATTGGACTTTTATGATGCTGTGGGTTATAACAGCCATTTAGGCAATTAATATAATATTATACTGAAGGCGTAATGGAAACATGCTTATTACACGCTCTCTGAAATAATATGTATATCTGATCTGTCTGCCCGCAGTTACGAGAATGATTTGCAAACGCGCAGACCTTCACCATTTTTGGAAGAAAAATGATTAATTAATCAATAAGTTATCGAACTCTGGGCATCATGAGCTACAATTTGCAGGTGTTTTCTTGAAGTGGGTTATAATATACAGAAAACTATTGGACGAAACGAAACATTGTCTGGTTAATCTACAGGCGATGCATTGAAAGCAAAAGAAGATCGGTGGTTCCAATCATTCAAGTGCGCTTTGCTCAACTTCAGATTACTTCCTTGACCTTTTTCCATACGAGGGGACTCCAGCAAATATATCTAGAGATAAAATTTAAAAGTTGACGTATAAGATAGTACGCAAATCAGGGCTTTCATTTAATTTATTCCATAATTTTAATTAAATTTGTAGGAACAATTTCATTTCATTAGTTTTACTTTATTTATCTCCTTCTGTTTTGGATCTAAGGTGCTGGACTGCAGTACTTCATGGTAGAAACGCTAGCTAATCAAATTTAAGCTTAAATAAACGCATAAAACACTTGAATTGCATAAGAAAAGAATAGCCGCTCAACTACAGTAAAATATTTGATAGAAGGTTTGCAGTGGCTTGTTTCTAATCCTTTTTTTACTAACTTAACGCCGCTTATCTGGGAGAATTTCTCTTCACATCACTAACGCATGCGGGTCGGCCTACTGCCGAACCGACGAAAATTCTCCACCCAATAAAATTATTCAGACGACAGGGCTGCAGTGCGCCCGCATATTTGTTTGGCTCACCGCTACTCTGCGATTACCTCTGGGAGGTGAATTATTCATAACGTAACCAAACCTCGACTCTAATTTAAAGTTCTACCTGTCGATGTAGATATCAAAGAATAGGTGGAGCTTAGGTGAGGCAGTGTAAGTTTTCACAGAATTACAAAGCTTCAGAAACATTAAAAGTAGTTGGGTTTTGTTGTAGACGCTGGAACTATTTTAAGGTGAAAAGTATGTGAGGTTATCAGAAAGTAACTATGCTAGTCAGTCCGTAGTCTAAGCACCATAGTCAAGTACTTTGAAATCTATTTAAGAACAGCAATATATTGTATAAAGTAATTTTTTGATAAAATTCCTGGGATACTGTGTCTCCAAAACAATGTGATTTTTGATCAAATTAGTATGGTTACTGGCAAGTACACATAGTGGACAGATAGTGTTCAAGAGGAAAGCTCTCATCACCAATCGCAGTTAATGTATAACCGTGTGCTTCCAGTACTTCTGCACTTTAGAAACCATTTTGTTTTAGAGAATAATGCCAATAATTAATAAACATTCGTGTGTAAAACTCAATCGCCAAATGAAATAGGTTATCTTGTTGTGTTGTTGTGATTCGATGAAAAATCAAGAAATGTAATGGCTCTCTCTCTCCCCCTCTCAAAATGCTAGTAGTTGAAACCACCGGTAATAGAAGTCGGAAAAAATTGGTTTTAAATGAACAGAACAAAAATTAAGCATCCCACCTATCTATTTCAGAATCTCGGTATTTAAGACTATTACTGTGGTTACTCATGTAAGAAATCAAAGCTTTGTTGCCGCTGTAAATACACTTGCAGACGTGATAAGGCCGCGAGTTCAAGTCAATCCACTAATTTAACAACGAATATTATTAGAATAAAGTGACCTCCTCTTACTAATGTCGCCTGTCGATTCACTCTTTTTCCCATATTGTCGTCATTTTTGACGATACTACTTAAATCAGGATGGTGATCACGTGCGAAATGAAGCATAGCCTTTGCCTCCTTGAGTCAAGCCATCACAGCATGAACCCCCATGTTCTTTGTTTCAGACTGTCTAATTTGTATCAGTAATCCAAAATATAGCTTATATATTTCCTTCCTTAAAAGCAGGTTTAGTCTAGGATAAAGGACCTTGATAAGTTTTAATATAATTGCTGAAGACAGCTTCTAAGTCGGCTGATGAATTTAAATTAGTGAATAGTCCCTTCTTGAATCTATTCTTCTATCTAACTTTAATTCATTTAAATTTTTCAGGACTATCAACTGGTGCAATGGCAACCAGTGGTTACTCAACAATGGGTGGAAGTAGTAGCGGTGGTCACCTAGCTGGAGATGACGGCGAATCTCTTGAAGGTAGTGAGGCTGGCGCTGGTGCCGTCGAAAGAAATCGGGAACTCAACCATGAGGAATTGATGGGTCCAATGGTCCCGCCTTCTGGAATCATCCGCACGGACTTTGATGGACAACCAAGTCCAGTCGCTACTGTTCCGGCAGCAGTTGTTGCCTCTTCGACTTCTATTAATCGGGCTGCTGAAGCCAGTTCCAATGTTCCACCACCCCCTAAACCTTCAAGAATGACGGTATCGTCGATTTCTTCGAATAAACGGCAGGACAATGAATATAGCTCTTATGTAAGTACCCAGCAATAAAAAATTTGATGTAAATCTCAATCAGGGGCTGGTTAATGACTCTTCCCTTATGTTAAGATTAGTTTTTGTGGTAGAAGTTGTGAGAATTAAACCTCACGTTGTTTCAAAGCCTAATTTTCCTTCTTGCTGCTTATGAAAGTTCGATGAATCCTGATTTTTAGAGTGAGAATTTCAATGAAATGAATTATGCTTTTTTCCTTACTTCAAACTAAAACTGTTGGAGTTTGCTTAAGATGATATGCATTTAGCTCATTAGAACAACAGGCCTGGTCGAAAATGCAACTTGGGCAGACAATATAGTGTTTATTGAAGCAATCGGAAATTTTAAGAAGTAAAACTTAATATTCTCTGTACCACCCGCTACAGCAAATTGTAACGTATACTTTTACGGGAACAATGAAAATCTTTAAGCATTGACTCACATCCATACATGTCTGTTCCATGATTTACGACACGTACTTAATGAAAACTACAGACCCTTACACTCCCCTAGTTGTCCTAGGGATTTCGTGCTTAGTTTTCAAGGCAAATGGACTCAAATTACATCAAAATTTGGTAATTTTCTTATCGTATTTCATTTTGCTCTGGTTCTGTCAAATATTGGAATTGGTGTTTGCGTTAGTTATGCAAAGATCATCGTACTTGTGGAATCAAAGAAGTCATTATTTACTCTCCAAAAATTCAACTCCATTAATGAAAAAATATTGTTCTCCATTTCCATCGTCTATGCCAATGATAGGTAGGTAAAGAATTTTCTTAAACGTACAGTTAATAATTTCAAACGTGCTTTACCAGGTTGAATGTTTGCTCCAAGTTTCGGAAAGATTAATCACCATACATGATAAATTCGGGGAAGTGAAGGTTTCCTAATCTCGCTTAAACAAAATTGTTGGTAATAACGTAGTTTGATTCACTTCTTTATCCACATTTGAAGTGAAACTACCTCTTTTTCAGTTGAAAAATTTATTTGTTGCAGTCATAAAATGACTTTGGAGCCTTCATTCAATTTATCTGAAACAACCCCCTCCCCTCCCCCCGCTCCATTCTCCACACTGCCATCTGCAATAAAGATAAGCCATCTCGCATTGAATAGATGAATTCAACACCCAATGGAGTCAGTTTCACTGCGTGAAATTAAGAATAGCTTTGTGCTCAAATGACTCAATCAATCTTCATTCCATGCTGATTGGCCTTATTTCATTTTGTTGGCTATAAAAGTGGATTTCCAGCCTCCTCGCAGTCCCTCCTCCTATTTCTTTCTTTCCCCCTCTCCCCCTACCTCCCTCCCTCTCTCTCTCTATTTTCTCACTGGTTTGTTTTGAGCCTCTCGCAGTAATTAAATTTAGACTTGTTTGAGTGGCTCAACACCGCTCGCGTTTAAAAAGAACAGAGTTGAATCAGGCGTGCATTCTTCATCTTAGACAGACCGATTAGTGGCTTTATGAAAAAAGACCATTCGAAACAATGAGGGCTAAAATTAGTCTATTGGAAAAGGGAAAGGCAATCCCAAAATGGAAAAATGCAAATAAAAATGAGCACTTTTCCTCCAATACATGAAAGCATCAAACAAAGGGAATTAAGTTGCAGTTAGCTTTTAAACCAATTAGAGATACTAAACAGGTGCATTTTTTATCCAAGATATTGTTTAGTGAAAAACTGCTTTTTTAATATTCTATGGCTATTTAAACAGTGAGTAATTATCATTTAAGAAATTTAATGGTTTGATGGTTTTATTTAAAATAATGTTTTAAGATTCGAAGAGCTTTGATAAAAATATATGCTTGGATTGCGTACACATAAGGATAAAACGAAATTCGAATATTCTACGTTTATTAGAAATTTGATTAATTGAATTGTGCATCGGGGAGACTGGTTTGCACAAAATAGTTACCATGCGCTGTTACGTCATATCAACAGGCTAGCAGAATTTCATATCTCACATTGTCGTGCACAAAAGTAGCTTTTGGGATCTACCTGGCTTATTGAGTTGGTGTTTCGGCAGACGGGAATCTAGTCAGAATGGCGATTAGTGCGGATTTTCATCTGCTACTTCGTGGACAAATGGGCAATTACTTATTTCCTCTCTTCTTCAGACGGATGCATTAGGACAAAAAAGACAAGTTCTTATTTGTCATGAAATAGGTTCGGAAAAATTTGAACTATTTTCACTAACCATTTTAACTAAAATTTTCTTCTAATGCACTTCCTTAGATGTCATTAATCACTTCATTTATGCCCAGCTCCGAGAATTTAATGTCAGCTTTGATTGGGGTCACGCATTCGTCATTGTAATTTTATATGTTAATTTACAACTTGCGTGACTTTGCTCGGTGCAGTGGACTGTTTTCTTATTAATCTTTTCTCATTTCCTGGAAATAGGCTGGATAAATGGTGAGTTGACAGTCCAACGATCTTCTTGATCTCATAAAGGTACAATTCGCTCCTGTATGGCCTCACATATTCTATCGTCCGAAAAAAAGAATTCTCACCCTTAAAAGAATATCTTCTTCTATTCACCTGTCAATACTAATTAAATTTTGTGGAACTTAAAAGCTAAAGAAAATTCTACGCTCAACAGTATTTGCTTGTGTTGAGCAAGAATCTAATTCTTCCAATTGATTCTCACTTCTCTCGCAAAGGAGAGGTTCAAGAAGCGTAACCGCAAGTTTTGGGTTGCAGAAAGTGGTGTTGATTTTTTGTTTAAAATATCTAGTAAACAGGAAAGGCAATATTTATTAAATGAAGAGAAGTGAGCTGAATTGATCTTTATCTCCAAGTATAGATTTAAACGAAGTTTAAGCCTACCAACCACTGAACACTTATTAAATTTAAGATGATAGATTACCCAGTAATCAAGCAACGAGTACTGAAGGACACCGTATGAGAAAAATCGGAATTGATTAATACAGGTATTATCAAAATTATCTCGAAATAATACAAATTTCTGTTACTTAGACTGGCACGTTACGTCGACAGGCCTCGCTTGCAGATCATCGACCAGTTGAACTATTCGGTCGAGATAGGTCAGAAGGTAAGTCTTTAATTTGTCATTAATAAACTCAATGTACAAAATCCAAAACAAAGGTTCTAAATAGTAATATTGAAACGTCCTCTAAAAGAACTTTTAAAAAAGACAACAAATAATTTAGCTATACAGAATTTGCTGAGCTTATTAGTTTGACAATGTGGGTTGAGCGCAAGGTCAGGTTTTTACTACTGTCTTTATAGACTTACCAACGATACGGACAGCTTCTCAATTTTACAAACTGATCGATTAGATTTGAGTACAGGTGAAATATATAAATTTATAATCTAAGTTTTGGACTTAAGGGCAGAGTGAAATAATTAGAATAAGTAATGATTATATGAGGAGTCTAACCCCGGTCGAACAAAAGCCTCTTTTTTAGGCCCGGATAATATTCTGTCCACGTTGACTTCACACTTTGTCAGAAAACCTTATTATTTAGATTATTTTCCACTGAAAGTCTCGCTTTATTAGTTGCACTCAACTATAAAAATGCCACTTCAGCACTTCTACTAACGATGAATTATTCCCCCGGCCAATAGCGTTCAATTTCTTCTTCTTGTTAGCCTTTACTTTCCAACGTATCGAGCCCATGCTAATCTCCTATTTTTATTGGTTCACCGCACAGACATAGACGAGCTATTAGACTTTACCCAGTAAGACTTATCTCCGAATAAAACCGAAAGACGGTGAGATTGCGACTGAATGTAGCATATCTGCGTATTTCCTTGGCTTATGGCAAAATATGTAATGCTAGCAGACATCGTATGCCTATGCTTTAAAATTTGACTTTCAGAAGTATCCTCCCTTCGGACTAAGCAAATGTCCACTTCAACATTACACAACTTTAGTAACCAGCCGTCGACACCAGTTCAAGTTCTTATGAGTGGGATTATTTCGTCAACAACTACTGCTCCAACAGGAACAGCAAACACCATTGTCACAACAGCTCAAGTTCGAACCCCTTACACGAACGATACACCGACTGGAGAAATGCAACTTGTTATTGGATCGGAAAGGAATTTGCAACCTTACAAGCCTTATCGCGAGGTGAGTTAGAAATATTTGACCATTGACATCTTAAGAGTAGAGCTTGATGGAATTATATTGAGATTCGACGGTTTTTACTTGTGCTTAGAATTAAGAACGTCAGACGTGTCTCCTTGTCTACAAAGATTGGAAGATGTTGGTTGCAATGCTTCTTTGAACGAAAGCTGGTTTTAACTATGCAACAAAAAATCTAATTCGACCAGTGGAAGAAAACATTTATTTATTTATTTATTTATTTCAAATGGCAGGCGTTTTGATAGATATCATTAGCCATTTAGCTGGCTTCGGGCTTCACTGAGGGAAGATTCATCAAAGTAGCAGAAAGTCGAGGGGTGGGGAACAGAAGAGCGATTCACAGATGTAAAAGAGATAGACGGACACAAAGGTAGAGAAAAAGGTAAGGGGAATACTGTGGAAGGGGTCGAATATGACAACCAGGGGGGGGGGGTCGTGGTAGTTAGAAGCCAGAAGTCAACTGCCGGTTAATAGACATTTTTGCCGTATGAGTATACGTTGCCCAGGGTGCA